AAAATCCTGGACCTTCTTAATGATGGGAGTTACTCCAAAATTAAAAACGATCCCACTAAAAACCTAACGACAAAAACCAACAGTATCATCACGAGTTCCACTTCCCTAATCGAACCAAGCAAACGTCCCTCTCTAAAACCATCGGCGGCTAGACCTCCCAGACTCTATGGTCTTCCCAAAATCCATAAAGAAGGCACCCTGCTACGACCCATCGTGTCGACGATAAACTCTCCTACGTATAAACTAGCCCGTTTTCTATCAGATACTCTGCTCCCCTTCACAGGCAAGACCTCTTCGGCAGTACTCAACTCAACCCAATTAGTCTCTATGGTTAAGGACATGGTACTATCTCCTGATGACATCCTCGTCAGCTTTGATGTAGTATCTATGTTCACCAAAGTCCCAGTACCGGACACCCTAACAATAATTGAGGACTTAGTCCAACATGGATTGAATTCTGATGTATCTGCGCTGGTTAGGCATTGCCTCACCAACACTTATTTTACCTGGAATGGCACCTTCTACAAACAGAATGAGGGTACCCCTATGGGCTCCCCCTTGTCACCAGTTATAGCCAACATGTTCATGGAAAAGTTTGAATCAGACGCCATCCAGACATCCACCCTGCGTCCTTCCTTGTGGAAGAGGTATGTGGACGACACTTTCGTCATCTGGCCACATGGCCTCCCAGCATTGAACCACTTCTTGGACCACATCAATTCTAGACACCCATCCATCAGATTCACCATGGAAGTGGAGAAAGACGGTAAACTACCATTCTTGGATATTCTGTTTGAGAGGAGGCCTGACGGATCCTTGGGACATTCTGTCTACAGGAAAGCCACCCACACAGATTCCTACTTGAAACCGGATTCCCACCACCACCCATCTCAAAAGAATTCTCTCATCAAAACGCTATACCACAGAGCCCATGGCATTTCTGACCAACACCACCTGGCCGGTGAATTAAGACATGTACATCGGGCCCTCAGGATGAACGGATACTCTGATCGCACTATCCGCCAAGCTGTTTCTCCCACCATACAGAAACAGCCACATGAAACTCCGACCAAAACTATCACGTTGCCATACATAGCAGGCGTGACCAAAAAGATCTCCAAAATTCTAAACAAACATAAGATCCAAGTCCGATTCAGTACAGTGCATAAAATCCGTGATTTGATTCCATCTGTGAAGAATGTCGTTCCTGACTTACAGTATCCTGGAGTCTACAAATTGAGTTGCATTTGTGGTGATTGCTACATTGGAGAAACGAAACGTCATGTTTCTGATCGTGTCCGCGAGCACAAGTCAGATCTGAAACACGGCAGAACTGATTCTTCTGCCGTTGCCGATCATTGCTACAACTCGGTGGGCTCTCATGAAATTGTATTTTCCGAGACCAAGGTTCTCTGCAAACCTCCTGGCTACCATCAAAGGTTTGTACACGAAGCCATACAAATATACAAACACAGACATAATTTCAACCGTGATGACGGTTACAAACCGAGTAATCATTGGAAAGATGTGATTAACCATGCAAAAAAGATTTAACTATACTTATTTGCCAATCTTATTTGACAGACAACCATCACAGTTTTACCATGTCTAGTGGTGGTCTCCCTGTTACAGGTTGAGTCACAAACCGCACCTCTCCATAACAAAGGCTCAGCCTTTGTTATGCAGTCTATTCTTAGTCTTAAGCCTCATCTTACCATATTAATAAAAGTATGCGGCTCTTGCTCCACCACCTCCTCCAACCATTATATAAGCTGAGTGGTGGCTTCTGCAATCTCTCATTTACTTGATACGGCTGTCGTGGCTGTGACGGTACCACCTGAAGACGGAAGCTTGTGTTGCCTCCGAAACGTCGTGATTTTATTTTATTTTACTTTTTAATGTTTTTTTACCTACGTGACTTTACCGAAAAAACCTAAGAATATGAATCATTGCAGTCACGAAAGCTTCAAATCTAGAATTATCTAAGCAATCCAGGACTTCCCAACCTGCCTCAAGAGGACCAAGGGAGTTCAAGGCCCCAAAGAGAGGTCAGGCTGACACAGCTATGATGCTGAGAAGCAAGACCTTGATGCCAGGATACAAAGGGCATGGGACCGGGTTGAAGCAGATTTATCTGAAGCTCAAAACGCCTCAGACACAGTGGCCTCAATTCGACGGGCCATCCAGCGAGTGACGGTGAGCAGCTCAAGCTACAAGCTGCTGGCAAATAGATACATTTCCCTCCTGATGAAGGTGAGAACAGATGAGGGCATCGAGGGAGTGCGCACGCAAGAGCACTTCCTCGAACTGCTCGATGATAATGTGAAGGCAGTGATACAAGACGCAATGGACCGCGTGGAGGGGTTAAGAGAGACACGATCGCAGCACTCTGTCTCATCCAAGTCCACCACAAGATCTAAAGGCTCAGCACACTCACAGATATCATCTACTAGTATAGCAGCAGCTCAGGCATGTGCAGCAGCAGAAGCAGCAAGCGCCCATATTGCCTATGTAGGGGTTATTACAGGAAGAAGGGCGGACAGAAAACACAAGGGTGTCTGCACCCACACACGGGTGTCTACATCCACATCCGCATCCGTTAACCCTGGGGGGCCATGGGGGCGCTGTGATCCCCCATAACTCCACCCCTCGGAGGGGATTCCTATAAAAGGCGGGGAGCCAGAGAGCTCGGGGCCAGTGTGGAAGAAGCTTTACCAGTGAAGTCTGAAGACAGGCAGAATAGGCCCTGGGACTCCCCTGTCTCGCTGCCCTTGTCAGGGCCGAGCTGGGCAAGCCAGTGGCGCGGCCCCAAGAGCTTCTGGACCTCTAATCTTGTAAGAGCAAGGCCGGGTTAGCTGGGTGCCGGGATCCGTGCTTTACCAGGGCCTGAGCAGATAGCCTCCCATAGCACTATTAGAGGAGGACTGGGAATAGGACAGGGGAAATAGTGCTAGGGGTGTTTTCCCACCTAGTACGGGTGAAGGGGCCGTTACCCCTTCAAGTATTGTTACTGCCCTTGAGTTGAATAAAAGAGTGTGCCTCGACTCTGTCGTCAGTCTCCCTGGAACTCACTACACCTACATGGCTGAAGAGGAAGCCATGCTAATTGAAAAGTCCCGCATACAAGAAGAAGCAAGCATAGCAACTGCTGCCACCCGGAAGAAATCAGAGCAAGGGAGTATACTAGTGTAGGACTTGAAATATGACGCGCCACGCGTTCTGTTGCTATGCAAGCGAGCAGTGTACAGCGGGGGGTATCTGAGGACGGGGTTATTGTTGTCGGGCGTGAGGGAGACGTCGTTAAGATTGGCGACAGGTGTTAGGGGTAACCGAGGATGCAGGCCGGTGATTGGTCAGGAGGGTGAGTAGTTAATGACCGGCGCCGCTCTGGCGGGAATAACAAGGTCACGTGAGGCTGGGGGCCTGGGGGCGAGTGGCGAAGCGGGGGGTGAGATAATTGATTGGGACTATACCGTAAAAACCTAAGAATATTAGCCTGATAGCCTGTTAGGGTGTAGGGAGCTCCCAGTACCCTTCCCCTGGGGAGATTAGTTACTAACTCTGTGTTAACCCCTTCCCCGAGTTAGGCGCAAGCCCTTAAATAAAGAGTTCGGCATCAGCCCCCACACGACTAGCTTCAGCGTCGTTCTTCCTACAACAACTGCACTGCAAGTGAAAGTCGTCCTACGCAATAACCCTCCTCCCTCTCCTCTCTTTCGTCTCCCTCACACCAGCCACGATGAAATGTAATTAATACATTTGATTACTTTATATTAAATTTAAATAATAAAAATGTAAAAAGGTATTTCGTATTAATCATTTTTATCTGAATACAGTATTTTTGGGGTTGTGGAACGAATCATCTGAGTTTCCATTATTTCTTACGGGGAAATTCGCTTTGATATACGAGCGCTTTGGATTATGAACACGTTTCCGGAACGAATTACGCTCGCAATGCAAGGTTTTACTCTACTTATATATACATAATCATTTTTTGCCTTGTATTTCATAATACATTTCACTTATATAACCTTTTTGCTGATTTTTAAAGTGGTACATGAACAGGATAGGTGACATGTCATCATGTAAAGCAACCATAAACATATGAAAAGACCTCGGTTTACAATTTTGTTGGAGGCACACTGTTTTTTTCTCTGTATTGTCACAGCCGGGACGGCTGGTTTTTTTTACACGGGGGAGAGTGATGTCGTGAATGCAGCATCACTACCGTGTGCACACGCACACGTGACGTCACTACCACATGGGTCTACACGCACACATGACGTCATCCCGGCTGGAGGCGGGAATGACGTCAGGGCCGGTTCTGGACTCGGGAGGCCACGGGGGTGGTGTGAGGTCGTGGCACTCTCCGTGACCCCGGCTGGACACGTGACCGGATCCCAGTGGGGGCCGGGGGCCCAGGGGGGCACCGCGGGGGGCACGTGGACAGCAGGGGGGGGGGGCTTCGAGAGGGTTCTAGAAGGGAGGCAGCCTCCTCATGAGGTTCGAGGCTGCCCGTGCCGAGAATGAAGATGCATTGTGAAGACGCCGAGAAGAGTCGAGGCCTCCAGTCAGCGGACCGCCTGGCTGGGTCACGCTGGAGTAGCTCAGAGTTAGAAAAGTGTGTGTGTTAGCTAGAGTAGGTCGCTGGTCACCACCCTATGTGTAATGTACAGCGTTATAATACGATGGGCAAAGGGGCATAAAAGGGGACCTCCCCAGCCGATCGGGACCAGTCGCATCTCAAGACCCAAGACCAGCCAGCTCAGGACCCTGGAGCCCCTCGCGCCGCTTGTCCTTGACCCGGCGCCGTTCTCTGGTCTCCTAACTCCGGCGCAGAGACAGGGCCGTGAAGGATCGCCGTCTCTGGGTGTAGGCCAATCGGCTGTCAAGGACAACTCTGCGTACATAGTTCTCAAAGCGTCTTTGTTTCCACGATGCTTGCAACGCGCATCCCGGAGTGCACCACGAAACGATGGGGGGGGGGGGGGGGGAAGACCCTAGACTCCTCCCACGACTGACTTCTCCCCATGGGCCGCAGAATGCCGCCGGAGGTGGCCGTGCCGAGCGAACCCTTTCCCGCACTCGGAGCAAGCGTACGGCCACTCGCCCGTGTGAGTCCACGCGTGCACGCGCAGGTTGAAGGCCTGCGTGAACCCCTTGCCGCACTCGGAGCACACGTGCGGCTTCTCGCCCGTGTGAGTCCTAGCGTGCCTCTTCAAGGTAAAGGCATGCACGAACCTTTTCCCGCACTCCTGGCACGCGTGCGGCTTGTCGCTCGTGTGCGTCTGGGAGTGCCTCTTCAAGGCGAAGCCTTCGGTAAACCCTTTTTCGCACTCCTGGCACGCATGCGGCTTCTCGCCCGTGTGCGTCTGGGAGTGCCTCTTCAAGGTGGAGCCCTCGGTAAACCCTTTCCCGCACTCCTGGCACGCGTGCGGCTTCTCGCCTGTGTGCTTCCTCACGTGCCTCTTCAAGGCGGAGCCCTCGGTAAACCCCTTGCCGCACACCTGGCACGAGTACGGCTTGTCGCCCGTGTGCGTCTGGGAGCGCCTCACCGGGTGGACGTGCCGGCGGAAGCGCTTCCCGCGCTCCTGGCGCGCGTGCCGCTCAACGCCACCGGGGCCGCTCGCCGTCTTGTCGTCTCCTGCCAAGGCACGAACGGGCGGGATGGGCGGCGAGCGGGGGGAGCCTCGTTGTGCCCGCACGTGGCTTTGAGTCGGCGTTGACCTGAAGGTTCAATTATACAATGGAGGGTTTGTGTTTGTGTCGTGAAAGACATACATTTCTGTATTTTATGTAAAAGGGCCCCAATCCACGTGGTGGATGATGTCACAAAGCAGTCTATAAAGGGCCTCAATGCACGTGGTGGATGACGTGACAAAGCCCACCCCCCACTATGCTCACTCGTACCAGGAACGTAACAACGCGATTTGTCTTGACAACGAGGTCTTAACTAACGGTGTCAGGCCTCACGCAACAAACTAAAAACTTAAAACAAATGTGTTTATTTAACGAGGTGTAAGGCCCCCCCCCTCCACTGAGCTGCTGTTTAGCCCTTCTTTAGAAGCGACCCTGGCCATCACAAATATCATCATCACGCGGACATTCAGAGCAGCAGCACAAATATTCTCAAACGCGTCGCTGATGTCGATTCTAAACGTAGGGAGAAAAACCCGGAGGACCCGGAGAAAATATCCACGTCGCCACGGGGAGAGAGACGCCAAGTCCAAATATACAGCAGCAAGTGTCAGGGTCGGAATCAAAACCCACGACCTCCTGCGTACCGGGCGAGGTAGTCAACATCCCGTTGCGTTATTCTCTGCGAGCCGACGGCACTCACCTTGACCGATGTGCCGCTGCAAGTGCTCCGCATCCCCTGGCCAGACCCTGGCTCCCCCAGTTTGAATCGTCAACAGAACCTGAGCTGTAATTGTTACATGGCAAAAAATCGCATTCGTTCAATGATTAATATCCACGCAACCACGGGGAGAGAAACACGCAAACTCCAAATATACAGCAGCAGCAGGCAGTGTGAGGGTCGGTATCGAACCCACAACCTCCTGTAGACCAGGCGAGGTAGTCAACATCTCTACAGGGTCGGTATCGAACCCACGACCTCCTGTATACCAGGCGAGGTAGTCAACATCTCTTAGGGACATGATCTAACCCACGACCTCCTGTATACCAGGCGAGGTAGTCAACATCTCCCAGCCACACACAAACACAGCAGCAGGTAGTGTGAGGGTCGGTATCGAACCCACGACCTCCTGTAGACCAGGCGAGGTAGTCAACATCTCCCAGCCACACACAAACACAGCAGCAAGCAGTGTCAGGGTCGGTATCAAACCCACGACCTCCTGTAGACCAGGCGAGGTAGTCAACATCTCCCAGCCACACACAAATACAGCAGCAGGCAGTGTCAGGGTCGGTATCAAACCCACGACCTCCTGTAGACCAGGCGAGGTAGTCAACATCTCTTAGGGACATGATCTAACCCAGGACATCCTGTAGACCAGGCGAGGTAGTCAACATCTCTTAGGGACATGATCTAACCCACGACCTCCTGTAGACCAGGCGAGGTAGTCAACATCTCCCAGCCACACACAAACACAGCAGCAGGCAGTGTGAGGGTCGGTATCGAACCCACGACCTCCTGTAGACCAGGCGAGGTAGTCAACATCTCTTAGGGACATGATCTAACCCACGACCTCCTGTAGACCAGGCGAGGTAGTCAACATCTCCCAGCCACACACAAACACAGCAGCAGGCAGTGTGAGGGTCGGTATCGAACCCACGACCCCCTGTAGACCAGGCGAGGTAGTCAACATCTCTTAGGGACATGATCTAACTCAGGACATCCTGTAGACCGGGCGAGGTAGTCAACATCTCCCAGCCACCGAGGTGCTACCGTGCTGACCAGCATCGATGTCTCGCAGTCTCTCAGCGGAGGCTGGACACGTCCCTGCTGCATTCTTGTCCATTTCTCATTCGACGAATGGCCACTAAATGTGAGAAGCCATCTGGCAAAGCGGCGGGGAAGCTAAGAAACACGACAATAAACGCAGACAACGAAATATAACCACGATAGAGGTTTGTTTAAAGCTTTCGGTAAAATCGCGTAGATAGCTTCAAAATTAATCAAAAATAATCAACAAAAAACCACCACGTGTCGATCGTGTGGGATAAAGGGCGATACGATCCAGCCGCTGTGCGGCGCAATCGATTACCGAATCTAAGAATCGTTTGTTAATGGCTTCAAAGAATGGAGAGAATCGATTTGACAATTATGACGCGGATCGATTCTGATAGATTGAGTCGGGAAATAATCTTAACTACGGAATACCATTTGGGTCATTTTTTGTAACGCGTTTTCTAAAATTGACATAACCGCCTTGGAGCCAATCAAATTTCAGTATCTCCGCTCCCACGTGACACGGAGTTTTTTTCCCCAAACATACAGCAGCAGGCATTGTCAGGCTTGAGATGGAACCCACGACCTCCTGTAGACCAGGCGAGGTAGTTAACATCTCCTAGCCACCGTGATGATGATGAGAGAGAGATACAATCTTCAAATATACAGCAGCAGGCGTCGTCAGGGTCGAGATCGAACCCACGACCTCCTGTACACCAGGCGAGGTAGTTAACATCTCCTAGCCACCGTGATGATGATGATGAGAGACACACACTCCAAATCTACAGCAGCAGACATCGTCAGAGTCGATATCGAACCCATCTATCCACCGTGGTTCCCCTTCGATGGTAAGAGGCCGTGGTTATAATCTCGTGGAAAAATTAGGAGTCCTGTGATACTCTTAGTTTTTTCGGTAAAGTCACCACGTAGGTAAAGAATGAAATTAAAATTAATAAAAAATAAAATAATAAATGACGTTTCGGAGGCAACACAAGTCTCCGTCATCAGGTGGGACCGTCACAGCCAGATTTGCTGTATCAAGTGAGGCAGGGATTCCAAGATGCAAGTTCTTCAGATGTGAGTGTGAAAGCGATGGGTATTACCTTGTTATCGCAGCATCTCTTGAGGAAGGCCAGCGTCTCGAGAAGCTGCGACTTCTTGTCCCGTGATGCTACTGTAATAAAGGTCGCGGAAAGCAACTTCTGGAATCAGCTTCTTGGTTATTTCGGTAAAGTCATGTAGAATGGAAATAATAAAATAATAAAAATCAATAAAATAATTCTCACGACGTTTCGGCCACAACGCAAACAGCCGTCCTCAGGTGGAGAGCAGGTCTGTCGAGTAGACAGGAGTCTGCTTGCGTTGTGGCCGAAACATCGTGAGAATTATTTAATTATGTTTTATTTTTATTATTTTATTTCCATTCTATGTGACTTTACTGAAAGAACCAAGAAGATGAATCCCTGCAGTCACGAAAGCTTTAAATTGAAAAATTGTGTAATCAGGTTTGTTTATTATCTTTCTTCCACAGCTCCCATCATACGGACTCCTCTGCTATCTGACTCCGTCACGCTGTTGACAGACAGCGTGAGAGGGAGGGATAGAGAGAGAGACTGTGGCAGGCTCTGGACCCCCGTTCCTGCGTGGCGTCTCCCTTCGTTCCAGTTCTGACCACGTGTTGCCGGTCTCCACCCCTTTTAATCCCTGGGTCACGTGGTGCCTTTCAGCCAGTCCTGGGTCACCTCCCTGGAATCTTCCAGATTCCATCCTACGGTCCCAGGACCACGCCCCTGACTCGTCCCCCCATTGGCTGTGGCTAAAGCCAGCAGGGCCAATCATCTACTTCCACGTGTCACCTTCCCATTACGTCAGGGCCATGCCACTACTCCTCTCCCCATTGGTTATGGGCCTGGACCGGTAGAGCCAATCATTATAAACGAGGTGTGACCATTCAACCACCCAGGTGTACCCTCACATTACACATTGATAGCAGCCAACTCCTCTCAATACGGAGGGACATATACAGGCATCAGGGTCGGGTTCGAACCCACAACCTCTTGAATACCAGGCGAAGTAGTTAATATATCACCACCATGACTCTCCCACCCACCCACATACCCACCCATGGTCTCAGCTAGCTGATGGATGTTGCAAGCGAGAATTTCATCATCGCTTGCGGCTGGGGTTGCCATCGTCCCCCACTCCTCCAGATGTCGAGCGGAAATGGACGAGGTTTAGGACTATGGCTCATGCAGCTGCAATGGCTGCTTTGGGTACACGGTCCAGAGTGGAGAGTTTCCCTTACCTGGGCAGTGTGCTCATGACCGGATCCGGTTTGACAGCAGAGGTCTCGCATCAGTCAAGCAGCATTATCTTTTCATCGGTTGCGTAACACTGTGTGGAAGCTACCTGGTCTGTCGCTCCGCACGAAGCTTCAGGCCTTCTTGGCCATGGTAATTCCCTCCCTTTTCCACGCTTGCGAAACGTTAGAAACATTTAGGCTGGCCTGCCTGGGTTTAACCAGGCTGGATTGTGTGAGCTCAAAAATCCTTAAAAGATCTGGATAAAGTCCCATCGGTGAGCTCCTCCGGCAGGCAAGATTGCGTTGGCTGGGCCATGTAGCCCGTATGCCCAGCCACCGCATGCCTAAACAGCTTTTGTTCGGCCGGATCGAGGGGGCGAAATGGGCGCGGCACGGGCTAGAGAAGAGATATGGTACAGGAAGATGTGGAGCTGAGTGGACTTGCCGGTGACTGGTACCAGCAGTGTCAAGATCGGCCTCTGTGGAGGAGGCTCGTGAAGGACGCTACTGGTCAGTTGGAGGCATTCGCCCTATAACCAACAATAAGATGCTGGATGTACTAAATTGAGTGGCAGAAACGAGGACTCCCACATGCTCGTATTCTAACCTGGCTGAAAGAAAAAATGCATCCAATCCAAATCGATGTTTTATCTCCCGAGTTTTCAAATCCAGAGGAAGACCCAAATCTGCTTGCAGCAGTGACCGCAAACATGATTCATGGGCCATGTGGAAACCTTAATGTCAATGCAGCATGTACGAAGGTCAGAAAGTGCAGCAAGAAATATTCGAGGCAATTGATTAAAGACACACAAACTGGAGACGATGGATATCCTCGCTGTAGAAGGCGAGCTCCGGCAGATGGTGGATACGAAGCAAGACTGAAGATTAGAGGCAACACGGATATCGAAGTGAGCAGGTGGGTTGTTCCATAGTCTCCCCTTCTTTGTAAAATGTGTCAGGCGCACATTAATGTGAAATACTGTAACTCGGTGAAATCCATCAAATACATTTGCAAGTATGTCAACAAGGGAAGCGACATGGCTGTTTTTGGACTCGCGAGTGAAAACAGCCGTGACGAGGTTTCTCGGTACCAGTTGGGAAGGTGCATCAGTAGTAATGAAGCAGTTTGGCGGATTTTCAGTTTTCCTAATCACGACCGCCACCCCACCGTTGTTCGCCTCACTGTTCATTTAGAGAACGGCCAGAGAGCCGACTTCACAACTGACGACGCCCGGTTAGTTGCCGCTGAACCACCAAACACAAATCCTTTGACAGCCTTCTTTCAATTCTGTCTACAAGAACCATCTGCGAGCACATTGCTGTATCCTGAGATTCCCCAATATTACACTTGGAATTCGTCAAGCAAAGTCTTCTGCAAAAATGGAGTACCAGTTCCAGGACAGGATGCGTTTGCAAGCGAAGCCTTGGGACACGTCTACACAGTTCACCCAAACAACGGTGAATGTTTCTTGTCTCAGAATGCTACTTCACACAGTTCGAGGACCAACTTCTTTCGCAGCTCTAAAAACTGTAAACGGTGACGTATGTCAAGGCGCTCTTCCCCCTCCAACCCGGCAGCTTAAATAGACG